GACATACCAGTCATGTGTTTTGACGCTCCAGAATCGATGATCCATGTAGATGCAAAATAGGTGGTGGGAGGAGCATCCACCTGGCGAATTGCTCTACCATAAAGCTCCATATGGTCACGGAAGGAGTTTACAATATCCTCCCTTGGGTCAGATCCAGAGTAGCTATGTTGGCCATGTGGTGTTTGAGTCACAGTAGAGGTGGAGGGCTGATTTTCCCGAGTAACCATATTGGCCATGTGGTGTTTCTTGGTACCTTGCTGCCCGGGTCTTCTAATTACATCTGAGCCTTGCTTCTTAGGTAAATCCTGAGCCCACTTTGGTTTCAAATGGAGATCCCAACAAGTATCTTTGGTGTGTCGGGGCTTCTAACAATTAGTGCACCACAATCTTTCCTTATTCATGATTCTAGGTTTAGAAGAACTCAAAACAAAGGTACACTGCCTTACAGAGTTGCTACAGTCCACAACTAGGCACTTGCTGATTTTCGGTTTCACAGAGAACCAAACACAAACTAGTACTGCAGCTGCAGTACTAGTTTGTATGACCTACACTTTGTAGGAGTCCACAAAACAATATACAAACACTGCACTTGCAGTGTAACCAGGTCTAAATCTTTCCACAGAACAATATACGAACACTGCACTTGCAGTGTAACCAGGTCTAAATGACCTACAATTTTACAACTTTCATGCAGCTTCACACTAGGAACAGCAATACAGCAATACAAGTGGTGGTTCAACACACCTAATTGGCTGATATCCACTTTCAAGGGCAGCCGAACAGTCACTTAGGGTTTAGGGTTCAACAACAGTCCCTTAGAGATCTGAATAGAGCAACACACAGTCGGAGGAGGGAAAACAAAATAGCCAAACAGTCCCTACTCAGATTTTTTGGACATTAACAGTCCATCGAAAGAGTGCAAGAAGAGAACCATAAACAGAGAAACTTCAGTTCAGTACCCAGGTCACCCGAACTGTGAATAGGCAGTACACTCATGGACCCAATCTTATCTGCAGGCCAGAACCTTCTTCATACATCTAGGATGGTTTTCTACAGTCTTCTTAGCCGAGCAACCCCAGAAAACATGAAGCAGAACCCTTTTCTGCGCTAGGAAGTTGAACAGTCAGCTTTCTTGTAGCAGAACCCTACTCGGCAGTGAAGATTAATCGCAGCATTAGAGAATGCTTCCTCTTCCTTGCCCTCGAGCATCAGGACTATAGCTTCTACGCAGCAGTGAAGAGAGACCTTAGTTGGTTGTTTTCCAGGCCTAGTCGGTCCTGCTCTGATACCATGTTGAGCAGAAGAATAAGAAGAAAGGAAGGAAGAAGAAGAAGAAGAAGAGAGAAGAGGCTGCAGACTTAAGGCCTCAAAAGGACCCCTTCATGCAAGTGAAGCATTTGTATTTATACTATACTGGCCGTACAACACAAGAGGACTACAAAATTACAAAAATACCCCTGCAGGCACTAAACCTGCGTACAGTACATATAATACACCTGTCAACAGTCTCCACTTAATTTCCTCCTTCACAACCAACTTATCAAAAATGTTTTTTGCTTGGGATCTTTTCAGCCTCAACTCTTCAAACAAGGGACCCATCTCTTCAGCTCTATCAATCTCTTCAATAGTACTTAGTAAAGCTTTCTTTTCAATACCCAAATTTAATTTTTTTTCTCCAAGTTCCAAATTTTTTATTTTCTTTTGATAGCACCCAGTGTTTTTGCCATGATAAAAGAGCTTGAACCCCACTTCAATGTCTTTCTACACAGATTTCATCAAAGGAATAAGATTGTCTTCCTCATACCAAGCAATTTCAAATTTAGAAGGAGCTCTGATTCTCTCTCGATGACCACATATTAGTTGGATAGGACTATGATCGGAAACAGGTCTAGGGAGGGTAATCTGCCTAAAATCAGGAAAGATATCACCCCAGTTCAAAGAAACCAAAAATCTATCTAGCTTCACAAGGGTGGGGTTTTCTTTATTATTGGTTCAGGTGTATCTGTTGCCTTGAATAGGGATATCCATAAGTTCCATATTATTGATAAAATCTGCAAACAGCCTCATCGACCTTGTTCTTCCACCTCTTGTATTTTTCTCTTCCACCGATAAAGTTACATTAAAATCACCACCAATGACCCAAGGATGGGTCAAGGAGCCTCTCATATCTGATAATTCCTCCCAAAAACCCGCCCTGAGATTTGAAACTGTTGGCCCATAAACATTTGTGATTTGGATAACATTGCCATCTTGAAGCTTCATAACTAGAGAAATTGAGAAATTTCCAATTCTACTAGAAATTAGGCTACAAAAAGAGGGATCCCAAAGACTCAAAAGGCCCCCTGCACTCCCAATAGCTGCCTTTGCCTTCCATCTAACCTGACCTTCCCCCCCAAATACTTTGGATAATAGCAGCATCTTTCTCCAATTTTGTTTCTTGGAGCAAAACAATCTTCGACTTTGACATCTTCAGAAAATCACAAACCACCAATCTTCTTCTAGCCGACCCCAAGCCTCTTACATTCCAGGATAAAATTTTCCTATATCCAAACTTCAAAATGATTCTTAGAATCACAATATTCATCAGAATTTTTCTTAGCTCTGCAATCTACTAGCTGCCAATGCGCTTGTTAAGGGAGGAGTTTTGAGGAGTTATTGTTTCTTGTAGGATTTGAATTACCTAGATGATTTGTACTCTTAGATAAATTTCTATTATGGCACTCTTGAACCAAATAATTGCTATATTAGATGTTAATTTCTTAGTTTCCTTGTCTTATCAAGATTGAAGACATGCTTTTTCTCTTCACATTAGAAAAAGTTTGCATCTTTGATAAAAAAAAAAAACAAAAAACAGGAGGAAAAAAAAAAACCTGCATCATCAATCAATTAAAAAATTTGAAAAATAAGGCAAAAGTTAACTTTTATTAATCAGCAGAAAAGAAAACAAAACAGTACAACAGGCTTCTCAAGGAGTGAGACACACACACATAGGCACCATCCCAAACAGTAGCAAGCAACACAGTTACAAGTCTCACAAACTTCTTGAATTTAGGAGAAGAAAAGCATTCTGATAACTGAACAGATTCAAGACTGAAATCCAGGAGCCAATCTTGTCCACCAAAATTCTGATCAACTCATCAACCTCTCTGCACTTGTTACTAAAGAGCCTCCTGTTCTCAGCCCAGATTATCCCAATGATAGCCACAGGAATTACCATCCATACATGCTTCCCTTTTTTATTAAACCCAGGCAGTCACCAAGCTGACAGGAGCTTCGCAATGGATTTAGGCATGACCAGATCAAGAAATTACAAAAAATGTTTATGGTAGTACCAGTTATACACTTTAACAACTTAAAACCTAGAGACCTCCACTCTTTTAGTGCTTCCACCTGGCTATTGAATGACAATTGTCAAATAACACTAGGAGACTTTGGAGGGCACCATGGAAGATGATACAGAATTACAGACTAAAGAGAAAATACTTGTGGAGTCCATCCTCACTTTCACATATACCAATCAGTTATCATAAATAGAAATTTAAGAAACCACAAGTGAAGAGGCCTTCTTTCTTTTGGTGCACAATTTGTTGGGTTTGGGTTAGCTTGCTGTATTGCCTTTTGAGTTGTGTGACACAACTGTGACTCTTTTTGGCCTTCTGCCAGATACATGTTTAGGGGATTGTACATTTCTCCATTTAAATTACTTATGCAATTTCAATATTAAGATGCATATAAGTGACTATTGGTGTTGACACTGATAGTGAAATGTGGGTATGATGCTTCATTTCTCAAAATCCATGACACAAATACCAATACAAATGTCCTAACCTACATGCTGATACCATGCCTTTGTTTTTGGTTTTTTAAGATGTATTCTTCAATGCTAAAATCATCAAATTTATTGAAACTTAAAATACAAATAAAGCCTTTTTATGGTAAACATGTTGACTATCCAATTTATGCTACCAAAAAAAACGTGTGATGGTGATGGTGGTATAAATTTCCTGAAGTATCTGGTTTTGGTAAAATTGTAGTATCCTGATGATAGGTGTAACTTTACTTTTATAATAACTTTAAAAAAGAATACTAAAACAGAAAGGGAAAAAAGGATAATACAAGAAACATACAGATCTCAGGCCCAACAAATCCAAGTAAAAATGGCTGAAAAACAACCCAAAAGGTAACATCAATAAGTAGCCAACCTTGCTTACAAAATGGAGCCCCCAATGACTAGATAGCCACGCAGAAAAATGTGTGCCAAAACCTGGACTTAAAAGCTAATTAACCAAACAAAACAAATCTTCCCAAAAGACACCCTATAACACTAGCATATGTAACAACTACAGCACATGCATGGAAACCAATAAGGCATTTGTTCCCTGCCCCTCCTATGTCTCTCCCTCTTTTTCACTTAGAACATCCCCCCCCAAGACTTCATACAACCCCCAACCCCTGCCTTCATCACCATTACTAACCACCCACAGGCAAGCTTCCTTCCAATCTTCTTACACCTTCTGCCTTTTGAGACCCATGGCTCCATATCTCTCTCTAAGTTGTTGTAAACCTCCTCAAACTCCTCCAGACTACGCAACTGCTCTACAACACTTTTTCAATGCAGAACATGTTTATGTATATAGTTATCATAAGTCTGGAACACCTTTTTATCATTAAATTGTGAAGGACAATAATGAACTCACAAACAGGATGGACCTGGAGTTATCTATATAAATAAAAGTAATTGCAAGGGCATGATGCGAAAAATGGTGCCTTACCTCCTTAACGGGCAATGGTAGATCAACTGAACAAATTCTGAAATTTCGCCCCTCCCTTAAAATAAGTACCAAGTATTTATCACTGAAATCAACATCCTCAATCACAAAATCTGAGTCATCAATAAATACATGCTGCATAAACAAGGAGGAATATTAGCAAGAAATTTGTATAAAGGAAAGCAATTCAAAAGAGGTGAAGGAAGCTGACATGTACCCAAATAAAGAGAGAGAGCACATATGAACCATACTAAAAGAAAGAAAGTAGTTTTGCAAGTTCCCCATTTAAGTTTTGGAGGAAAGAAGAAAGAAGGATGGAAGAAGAGTCAAGCACCCATTCTATAATTATCCAGAACATGGACATGAATAGCTTAGTATATTTTGGTCATTTAATTGTCTAATGAGCAAACCTTCCAACTTTTTGAAGCACAAGATTCAACAGGACAACGAAGAAGATAATGAAAGTCAACAAGTTGACCATCTCTTGCTGCATCAGTGAATAGATAAAGATATCCTTTATGATGTTCAATTATGCAGTGCGTCTGTGTTTCACATTCCCATACTAATGTCATCCCAGACAAAGGATCGGCTGCATTTATCAGGTATACCTACAAAAGTGAAAATAAAGAAATAAATAAAAGATAAGAAACAATTGGTTTACTGATCAAAAAAAAAAAAACAATTGTCGCTAGTAGAAAATTTGGACCAGGACAAGGGACGTATAAGCTATGTGATACGATAATAAAAGAGGAAGTTAGGATTCACTGATCAAAGTACCTTAGAAAAAGTATTTGAGAAGGCATTTACAGTCACAAACCGGAAATCCTTAGTGTGTCTGATATTAACATAAACACCTTCATCTGATTCTTCTAGCAGCAAAACATCCTCTTCATGGGATCCAAGCATACTGCAGTAGATCCTATTAGGGAGAACAAAGAAGGAAATAATCGATTAGGGTTCATTGTGTCAACAATTAAATGTCACTGGAATTCTTCATTTGTTAGTTTACCAACCGATAAGGTCTTTTATTGTCGTCGGTCACTGCATAGAGCAACGCCTTCCCGTCCATGGCCCATGCCAAATTCGAAACTCGGTTGGCTTGAGGCTTGCTACATAGCGAGCCAGAAGATAAATCCCTCACCGATAACCGAAAGAAGTCGGTATCTTTATCGTACATTGTGTATGCAAGAAAACGGTGATCCGGAGACACTTCAGAGAGTTCTTCATAAGCGTAGCCTGAAAATTTTAGAAACCCATGATTATTTATTCTTTCAATTTTGAAATTCCGAAAGAAAAACCGAATTACCGCCAAATCTCTCTGCCTCTTGATTGTAGTCGAGTAACTTTTGTTCAATTCGCTTCCCAGAGGTGAAATCAAAACCAGCGGAAGGGGAAGTATACGAGATGAACTCTTCGTTTAAGCTTGCTGACCTCCGACAGAGAACCGGATACTGTTTTCCTTCTTCGACACGCCGGTAGTACAACCTGCAAGGATGAAAGTCCGCCTTGACATAGTATAACCATTCAGGCTCTGAAACAAATACAAGCAGAAAATGGATTGAAGTTAATGTGATTAAGGTGATGAAGGAGTTACTCACCAGGGACCCCACCGGACGGGCGGAGAGGAGAGGTCGGATGTCATGCGACTGGCCATTTCGGACTGAAGTTTACGTTGGAGGCGATCGGAGTCGGACATGACAGCTTCTGTATACTTCTCTTCCTGCTCCATGTAAACGTCCATATGGCGCATGGCCACTTTATCGCTCAGGTTTGACATCCAGCTGTAGGGATCTTCCCACGTTTCATCGTGAAAGGTAAACGAAACGGGTTTTTGAGGGGGTTTGGGCGGTGTCGGAGGGGATGGAGGTTTTGGGGGCTTCGAATGAGCAAAGCGGATATACGAAACGACGTTTGATAGGTGAAGGAGACGCCGCTGCTGAGTCAACATTTTGGTGAAGCCTGGCATCTTTCCTCTTCGTAAAGAGGTTGCGGGTGGAGTACTGGAGTGTGGAGGTGTAAATGAATTCAATTAGGTCCGACCAAGTCTCGTCGACTTCCCTTCTTCAGCAAAATCTCAAACCCTGTAATATCTACTTTCAGGCGTAATGTACATCAAAAGCTGCTGTACTTGGTTAGAAGAGTGGGAGAAAAGACATTGGGTTGCAATTAATGTGACTCAAGCTAAGAGAAACTTGTCAAATAACATAAAGAGAAAGCTGAGATATCGGGAACTTGGCTAAAGACATCTTCTCTACGGCTTCTCTCTGATGGTGGGGTTGTTGCAGAAGAAAACCAGCAGAACGGGAGATACCGAGAGAGAGAGAGGCGCCAGTTGGTTGGACGACTTGGGCGTAGCTCGTTTTGGAAGACGACAACACAGGCTAATGGTGGTAGAGGTTGACGGTGACCGGCGGGGAGAGCAGAGGATAAAGCATAAAGGGGAATAGAAGAGGCGAAGAGTTGTTAGGGAAGAAACCGGCGGGGAGAGCAGACGGGACTACAGCCGCAAAGCCTCCTCACAGGCCGGGTTTGGGCCCGACTGCCATTCAAATTTTGCCACAAGCCAAGCTCGAACTGGCCCATGAAGAGGTTTTAAGCTGGATTTCATAAAAATGTGGACTCAAAGGTGAATTAATAGTGAATTGAGAGCGCGCCTCACTCCGATTTCACAGAAATATCTCACGATGTATTGGAAACATCTCCTAAGAATGGGAGATGTTCGCAATGTGCGGCCAGGACACTCTATGAATTTGATTTGAGGCGCTTTGTGAGGAGCAGATTCAGACTTTTTATATCATTTTGCAAGCATTCCCAACTTGAAGGTGAGCTGCTTTGGAGGAGATGACGTGGTAGCTCATCACGTCCTCCATTCACTAACCCATGAAGAAGGCTTCCGGTCTTTTGCCCATCATTGTTGCTAGTATTGTTGTTGTAGATTATTTTTTTGGTAAATTTCTTAAATTACTTTTATGATTTAGAAAATTGATTAATTTTATTCATATTGTTTACCTATTGTCTTAATATATCTTTATGTTTTTCTAACAATCGTCTAAAACTTCCGTTATTGTTAATTTTTCATCACATATGACATCACGTTATTAAAATATTTTTTAAAATTTTTCTAAATTACTCTATATTTGAGAAGTTGATAATTACTACTAATTTGTCTATACCACTTAAATGAATCGAGGTCCTCCACACCATCCCGATTTCTTTGTTCAAAGATCATTGAAAAGAAATTAAATTTGTAACTTTTCATCAGCACCTAATGATGCAGCGCACATGACTCGAACCTATGGCACGCACGCACGTGGTAGATAGCAACGCACAGGATAGACCCAATGAGGGCGCGCACAGGGCAGAGGTCGGTGCGTAGCCCAAAACCAATGGCGCTGCCGCACGCGGCAACCCCAAATGACCACGCTCCTTAAGGCCGGGCCACATCCTGGTTGTTCGCACCCACTTACCACCTGGTAACCTCAAGTATAAATAGGGGGCAACCCCCTCAAGGTAAAGGACTAGAACTTAGACTCGATAACTTAGACTTAGAGCCCTTAGTCTCCTTTGTGGCATCGTCTGAGTGTTCATACCTCAGGCTTTGTCCACCTTATCTCGCACCCGAACTAACTTGATCGTTGAAGTCTCCGCCTCGAGTACCAACCCGGGGCATCTGATGTCTTTGTTCTTTACTCCTCATAGGACCGCCTCAAGCCTCGAACCGCTCAACTCCTCAGCTCGGATAGCGGTGGCGATTTTTCACCCAACCTATTGAAACCCACCTGATGAGGCACAATCCGGCCGGTCTTAGCTGTCAACGATCTTGCCTCTGAACTGAGTGGCAGGGAACCTGAAACGGAGGGGATGAAGAAGCTCCGGGGAGAACCCGGCGTAAGGGCTCCGAAGCTCGAGTTAGAATCTTTCAAAGGCAAGATAAGCCAGATAGCGCAAAGTTAGCATACCTCGTTCTTGGGGGGTAGGGAGCCTTTTATAACCACCTCGCGCACTCACTTCCAGGCTTCTGTCAGATCGGAAATGATTATCTCTGAGCTCCTGCCAGTT